GAAATAGGGGTCAGAAGATACAGAATTAAGTAACCAGCATTACAACTAGGCACATAACTTACTCTAAAATAGGGATGATAATATTTGCCCAATTGTGAAAGAGATTTGTGAGGAACAAATAAGATTGTTATTAAAACTGACTTATACATTGTAAAATTTGAAAAATCTAATAGTAATAAATATTCTTTCAGTCTTTTGTACTAACTACCAGGAACTAGACATCAAGCAGCAATTGTTTATAAAATACCTTGTAAAGAATACACCTGAGTGAGTGCTTTACTCAGCAGCTTATTACTGGTCGGTTGAATTTAGCCCATTAACCCTTTGGATCCTTACGTAAAATTATGTTGTGTTTGTCTTTGTCAAAGATAAACTGAGAAGAACTTTTGCCTCAGTAGCTTTTACTTCGTAAATTTTTCACGTAAGCCTTCCCTGCACCTTCTTATGAACACTAAGCCACATCTTTTTTCCTGACTTTTGAAGAGTAATAGAAGATTCTTTATCTTTATCCCTTAACTCTTGCGAGACTATAAATATCTGAACTAAATGATTATTTATAAGAATGGTTTATCTAACAGTTAGGTAGTTGTGGAAGGTTAATCTTTTCCAGGTTTTTTCCAGTTGTACTATATACTCAGCACAATGATGTGTGTTTTAAATTTAAAACCAAGCTGGAATAAATAAATAAATAAATAATAGTATTAGGATCCAGAGCTTGAAAACTTAAAAAGTTTGCTGCCATTTTTCTTTGTTGTGGGTGACTGACTCGATTTCCTTTCTGACTCATGGACAGGTAGGTTGTGAATACAGTGTATGTGGTAACAACAGGAGTCTAGACTATTTAATCTGGTAATAGAACTGGGTTTTCTTCCCTCCCTAGATGAAGAATCTGTTGACCCATTATGAAACTGAATCACCTAGTGATTTTTAAATTTAAAATTTTTTAACTTATTTATTTTTTATTATAAAAGTTTGTGTTTATTGTAGAGAATTTTGAAGCAACAAAGAAGGACAGAAATGAAAAGAATACAATAAAAGAAAATAGGTGAAATACTAGAAATGTTTACTTAAAGGATGTTTGAAAAAATATTATAATTAGAGATTTTATAATTTTTTAAAAGCTCTCAAAATAAAAAATTACATTATTAGGATCTTGGAGCATTTCTTTCCAATTTATTTTCTATGCAATTTTTAATATAACTAACACGTGGAGTTATAGTGAAAGTGCAGCTGCATATTCTGAATTTTCACCTAACAGTATGTCAGAGCATTTTCCCCTATCATTAAGTTGGCTTCTAAAGATGATTTTTTTTTTTTTTTTTGAGGAAGATTAGTCCTGAGCTAACATCTGCCACCAATCCTCTCTTTTTTGCTGAGGAAGACTAGTCCTGAGCTAACATCTGTGCCTATCTTCCTCTACTCTATATGTGGGACTCCTACCACAGCATGGCTTGACAAGCAGTGCGTAGGTCTGCACTAGGGATCCGAACCGGTGAACCCTGGGCCACCGAAGGGTTCAAACGTAACTGCTGTGCCACTAGGCCAGCCCCTAAAAATGATTTTTAATGATTGCATAATAGCTTGTCCTGCTGATATACATAATTTATTTACCCATTTGCCCATTTCTCGTTTGTCGCCATTATATATGACACATTGATGAACGACATTGTATATAATCTCTAAATACATCTCTTAAGATAAATCTCTGGGAAAGGATTCTATGGACTAGCTTAGAAATGTTTTTAATGCTCTTGATAAGTGCTGCAAAATTGTTTTGCAGAGAGGTGGTATCAATTTATGACAGCATTATAAATTACTGTCTCAAGTTACCTGAAAATAGTTATATCCAGATGATTCTGTGTTCCTTGGAATTATAGGGGAGTCAGCTGAAACCTTAGAAATAATAAAAGAGTTGAGCAAGATGATAGGCTATAAGACTAACAGTATTAATAATTAGGTTTCCTTCATTCGCCTCTGATCAATTGGAGTATGTATTGGAAAGACCAAAATTTTGTTCATTGTAGCAACTAAAATGAAATATCCAGTAATAGAATTAATGATGTGTAAATCTTATATAAATGTATCTAAAAAACCTAATCTGGGGCCAGCCCTGTGGCGTAGTGGTTAAGTTTGGCGCACTCCACTTTGGTGGCCTGGGTTCACAGGTTCAGATCCTGGGCACAGACCTACAGCACTCATCAGCCAGGCTGTGGCAATGACCCACATATAAAATAGAGGAAGACTGGCGTGGATGTTAGCTCAGAGCTAATCTTCCTCAAGCAAAACACCAAAGAGGAAGAATGGCAACAGAGGTTAGCTCAGGGCGAATCTTCCTCGGGACGAAAAAAAAGAACCTAATCTGAAGCATGTATTATGTTCCTGGTTGGCTATTTGATACCAGAGCTCCTTAAAATAAGGTAAGTTTAATGCAGTTTTAGTTAAAATCTCTGTGACTTTGTTGTTATTTTAAGAAATTTGACCAGTTGATTCTAAAGTTCATTTAGAATAGTAGATATTTGAGAAGAGCAACAAAATTTGCTGAGTTCTTTAAAAGAATTCTTTAAACTGAATTCTTTAAAAGAAGAATAATAGGGGAAGAGAAGAATGACTTGCGTAATAAAACATACTGTGAAGACGACAGTGATTTAATATGGAGACACTAGGAAAAGACTAGGAAGTAAGACAGTGAACGAGTCCAGGTGTGTACAGGTTCCAACCAGCCTGTCCAATCAATGAATATAAACAAGTTTGCAGTGCCTTTCAAACGCCTGAATTAGGATATTTGTACTTTGGCTGACAAATTAATATTTTTAATTTCTGTATGGTGGCCAGTGGTTCAGTTTTGACAACATTACCATCTTTGTACAGCAGTGTTTGTACAATTACTTGACCTGATAAATACACTTTTAATTACATACTGCCTTTTAGTTATGCACGTTTATTCATTCCAAGTATTTATCAAGTGCCTGCTATGTCTAGACATAAGGATACAGTGATGAACAAAACAGACAAGATCCCTGCACTCCTGTAGTTTACATTTTGATGGGCAAAGACCAATAATGAACAAGTAAAACATGAAATAAGTTCTGTAAAGAAGTATAAGTGGATGATGTGAGAGAGAGTGACAGTACTGTTTCTTTGGAAACTCTACTGGGAAGCTAACATTTAACCAAGGACTAAATGAACAGCTAGCCATGCCATGATCATAGAAATGGCTTTTCCAGATAGGGAAGAGGTGGTGCTTAGATGCTAATGCAGGAATGAGTTTGGCATGTTCAGAGAACAGAAAAAAGAGCCACTATGGCTGGAGCCTGGGGAGCAAAGGAGAAAATTTTATGAGGTGGATTTGATGAGGTCCCTTAGGCCCTAGATCATAAAAGGCTTTGTAAGATGATCTGAAGAGTTTGGATTTTATATTCATGCTCTCACTAGAAGCTTTCACGGCATTGAAGGTAGGGAAGTCTCATTACCTGATAAATCTTTGAGATTAAAGAAAATCTTTTATATGTGATTTATAATTCGGCACAATTAAAAACTTAAGACAGCGGCATTCAATTAAGGCTAAGGATATTCCAGTTTCCAAATAGAGATATGCCACAAAGAAAAAGCAATAATAATCTGTGACTAAATAGTCAAAACTATTTCAGCAAAATCTAGGTGTTGGCAAGGTAGAAAGGGAGAAGCAAAAAGAATCCTAAGGCCTGTTTTGGGGAGGGAGTTTGGGAGGGGTAAAGTGGGGAAGTAAAAGAATTTTAAAGATCTCATCCCATTAGGAATGCAGTAGAACATCTTGCTTCAGAAAATAGTTGGAATCTTGATAACATGTTAATAACAGAAATATGCAACTGGAATAAGCATTGAAAGAGGAAAGGTAACTCTTCATTTGTTAAATTAACTGGGGGTGGGGAGGGACAAGTGAACAGTAATTGTGCGAACCAGTAAAAGTAGGGGAAAAGAGGAAACAAAGTAAAATAATAATAAACAAATACAGATGTAACAAACAGACTGGGCTGGCCCTGTGGCCAAGTGGTTAAAGTTCCATGCCCTCTGCTTCAGCAGCCCAGGTTCACGAGTTCAGATCCTGGGTGCAGACCAACTCCACTTGCCAGCCATGCTGTGGAGGCATCCCACATAGAAAAAACAGAGGCTTGGCACAGACGTTAGCTCAGGGATAATCTTCCTCAAGCAAAAAAAAAAAAAAAGGGAAGATTGGCAACGGATGTTAGCTTAGGGTGAGTCTTCCTCACCAAAAAACAAAAACAAAACAAAAACAAACAACCAATGAAGTAAGATGAAAAGAAAACATGAAGTCTGTCAGCTGTTGTAACAATTGTGATCAGGTTGACTATATTTAATAAACTAGTTGGGTTAAATCAGCTATACTATGTTGTATAAGAATCAGACATTTTATAAAATAACAATTTGTAAGTAAAGGGATATTTAGAGTCAGAAGAAATGCAACCAAAAGAAAGCATGAGTAGAATTTTACTAATGAGATGGAATTAAAATTAGAAGCACTAACTAGAATAAAGGAGCATGTCTTATAAGGAGCATGTCTTATAATGGACAGTCTATAAAAGTATAATAACTAAATGCATAAAAGTCCCCTCAAATACTTAAAGTGCAAGAACTTCTTGGTTAGAGTACAACTGTGGGAGAGTTCAATACAGCTCTTTGAAAATTAGACTGATTTATGAGTTTAACATGAGTTTGGAATAATGGATTTTAACTGTAAAATGAATACATTTGATTTATGTAAATTTACATTTTTGAGATCAGTTAAGAGCACTAGAAAGATTAGTAAAATGAGCTATCTTTAAAACCAAGCAAAAAAAAAAACACAAAGCCCACAGCACCCAGATCCTGGTTTCTAATACTACTTTCTAAAAAAAGGAACATGGAGAAATGGCTGATTCTGGGGATGGGTTGGGGAAAACACAAAATGGTCCTGGAATATCTTGTAGTGTCAGAAACCAAACAAGTACTCAGAAAACAAAAGGGTACTTGCTTCAACAGCACACATAGTAAAATTGGAACAATTTACAGAGATTTCCATAACCCCTGTACAAGGATGACATGCAGATTCTCGAAGCAGTCCATATTTTTGTAAATTTTATGTATGTTTTACTAGAATTAAAAAACAATGAGGTCACATCAAAGGGACACAGGAGCCATATGAATGAGCTCCTGGGAGCCAAAGCTGAGACAATTGGATTATAACCTGACGTATAAAGTAAAAATCCATGAGCCATACTGATATAAATGATTGATTAAATAAATCCCTTACTTATTGAACTATCCTAGGATTTTACAAGCTGCATGAAATGAATTGGGGGAAATGGATAGCTGTTTATTGCAGAAGAATTCCAAATAATATGTGTAGATAACTCCCCTTTTCAGGAAGTGGAGCTTAGCTACCCCCAACCTTTTTGTGGGCTTGATTGACTTACTTGCTTCCAAATAGAATGTGGAAAGGGAAAAATAGTAACTTTAGAATGGAGAATCCTGGCAAGCAGTACCTTAGCCAAATAAATTAACATCACCAGTGGTAAATCATATTGATAGCATGTACCTACCCTCTGATACAATACAATGAGAAGAGCCCTTCACCTCTGTAATACTCTTTCCCCAAACCCACAACCTCAGTCTAATTATGAGGAAGACATCAGACAGACCCAGGTTGAGGGGCAGTCTACAAAGTAACTGACCAGTCTTCTTCCAAAGTGTCAACGTCCTGAAAAACGACGTGCGATTGGGAAACAGAGGAGAAAGGAGACGTGACGACTAAATGCAGTGGATCCTGGATTGGATTCTGGAATGAGAAAAGGATATTGGTGGAATAGCTGGTGAAATTCAAATGAAGTCTGGCGTTTAGTTAATAGTAGTGTACCAATGTTGGTTTCTTTTTTTACTTTTGTATGATGTAATGAAGGTGTTAACATTAGGAGAAACTGAGTGAGGAGTAGAAGGGAATTCTGAATGGTCTTTTCAGCTCTTGTGCAATGTAAAATTATTCCAAAATTGTTTGTTTTAAAAAAAGACTTTCATGGCTGAGGCCTATCTAACTTTTAATGAGAGGGCATTCTGATGTTATTTAAATACTGCACAGAGGAAAACAAACTCTCCATTTTATGCAGCTTGTGAAATGTTGAGTCCCAGAGGTAGAGTTTTCTCTAGGATTTCTACAAAACACAAACCCTCAGAAGCAAAAAGCCCTCCCACCTTGTAGCGGGCAGCTGACAGGGAGGCTTCTCTGCTCTCACTTGGTTTGAGGTGGGGAAGGATGTCCACTGAGAAATTAAACCCCAGGCTGGAGCTTCGTGCTGTTTGGAGTTCGAAATTTCAGTGTCTGTAGAGTGACGGAACTATCAAACCAAGAAATTAACATAAAATTTGGTTTTTGATCGCCTAACAAAATTTTTTTTAAAAAACAAAACTGAATTTTAAAGAACACAAGATAGTTTATGGCTGGCAAGTTCTTTTAATTCTCTTATCAAACGTAATAGTACCTTTGTCCTGAAATTCTTGTATTCTTGTATTAAAGTATGCTTCAATTTCTATAATTTATTCATTATAATAAATTTTTTAAAACAAAACTTAGTTTTCGCTGTTTGTGTAGGGAAACATGTAGCAAATATTGGATACAGAGTGGCCATAAGGTCTGTAAATGTTGGCAAATATACATAATAGTTTATTAATATTACATTACAATACATGGTATGGTCATGTATATTATATGATATATTCAATGTGTTCCTCATTAGCAATGCATGATTCAATGCACTGTCAAATTGCAAAGAAAACAGTGCATTAATGCACCATTTTCATCAATCCTTGAACCTCTATGTTTGTTGTCTCAGATGATTTGTCAGTTATTACTGAATAAACCTGTGCTTGTAGCATACCACAGAATAAGTAGTCAAGCAGGTTCAAACTGACGAAAATTCAAAATGTCTGTATTTCCAGATTTTGTGGCCACTCTGTCAAATAGTTACTTTCCTCCCTGATGATCCTTAGTTGTGAGAATATCTACTGTTTCTGTTGTCCACTGTTTTGAAAATACACAACTCACAGAGTTTTGGGAGTTTATGATAATAGTGTCATTATATTTTGCTTCAGCTTCGTTGCCTCTGTTGCATTTTAAAGTTGATGTCTTTATTTTTCCCAAATTTAGAGTTGTAAAAATCAGAAATTAAAAAATCAGTTATTTGATTTAAACGTAAGACTATATTATATTTTCTTTAATGTGAAAGTATATGTATTTTATTTTAAGCGTAATGTAGTCAAATTAGGAGCTGAAAACCCACCTTTTTTGTAGTTCTAGTACTACTATCTGAGGCAAATTCTGATCTTCACAACTCATATCCTCACAAATCTTAAAATTTTGGCAGGGTAGAAATTGCCCAGTTGTACCAAATGCTGCTCAGCAATAATGAAAACACCATTACTCATCAATATAGATGCAATTTGCCAAGATTCAGATTCTGGCATTGCTACTTAATAGTTGTGTGACCATGGGCAAGTTTATTAACCTCACTGTGCCTCAGTTTCCTTTATCTGTAAAGTGATAATAATAGTATATACTGTATAAGGTCATTGTGAGGATTAAAGGAATTAATACACACAGAGCACTTAGAACAGTTCCTGGCACATGGTGCTTACTGTTTGCTGACTGCTCTTACAGATACGCTGCCATCCCTGCTCTACTGCTTTCTTATGTCCTGTTCATGGTCTGTTTGCAGTTTAGGTGCTCTGACTTTTCCAGTGTAAGAATATGAAATCCTTACAGGAAAATTCCTTTAGGATTTTTAATTAATTTAGTTACGTTACTCTGTGAAAGATATCAATCATGAATGTGAATGGATTTACAAATAATAGAATAACCTCTTGTATTTTTAATTCCCTGGTTAAATAAAGTGGGAATATTTTTTGAAGCTTTTATTCTGCGAAAAGTGTCTGGTTATTGTAGCTCCCTGGTCTAGTACACTTTTTGCGAATCTTCTTTAATGCTTGTAATCCCACAATTAGCTAACAGTTTTTTCCTTTTCCTCCAAATTAGTGCATATTTGGACTTACATGGTATTTTAGGATCCTTATTTACTAAGGATTATGTTCAAAATCCTGAAAATCAATATTGTATATGAAGTCTGACAATGTAATTTAATTTTTTTTATATTCCCATAATGTATTACAAGGCTAAAATACTTGTTCCATGATTGCTGGTTTTGTACATAACATTTTTTGTACTGATTTTGGAATCGTCCTTAAGGCCAATATCATACTCACCACTTATTCCTTTATTCACTGATTTGTTTTTAAACAACTAAAAACATTTACAGCAAAATTGGGCAAATTGAATGTTGAGTGATTTTTTTTTTAATTCAGAAAATGTATGACAATGAAGTATTGCAAGATTTTTTTATGTGGTTTTTATAAACTGATTATGAAGGCAGTTCCAAAAGAAAAATTCTAAAGTTTTGTGCATTTGGAGAATAAATATGTAACTTTCCAAAGTGATTACTTTGAAGAACAATAATTTGCATTCATTTATTAAAGATTTGTTTGAAAGTCTGCCTGCCGTGGGCTCTGATAGATTGGCAGTCTAAATAAAATGAAGTCACTGCCCTTAGGGACCTTATAATGTATTAAGCTTTAGTATATTTATGTAATATAGTTTTATTACTTTATAGTGCCACTTTTTATGTTGCAAAGAAGCTATGGTTTGCTTTTAATAATCGTATTGTAAATATTCCCTAAACTTTTTCATTTTGAAAAGCAGTTTTTCTGTTAGGATAAAACTATATAAATTTCCTTTTCTAGGAAAGAATACCCACCTCATGTCCAAAAATTTGAAAATAATTCTGTAAGATTAAGTCGGCCCCAAGGTGTTGGTAAGTGTGCGGTTTTATTTGTTACACCTGTGAAGGGTTTTTAGTAGTTGTATGAAAGGTAGAAGTAGAGATATGACACTGGCTTTAGAATATTCCCAGGTATTACAGAAATATGTGGAAAACCATTTTTTATAACTGATTTGAGAATCAATTTAATTGTAAGCTGAAAAATCGGGTAATGATTGCATATTCATGTGACTACAGCTTGAAATCTTTTAGATTTTATTAGCATTTTTGTTAGATTCAAGATCCAAATATTAGCTGTAAATGGGTTATAACTTCAAACTGTGTTTTGTTTAACTGTTATAATCTTGTATTGTGTAATTGTCTTGATTTAAGAGGTTTTGCTCCTAAAATTTAAAATACATCATGCAACCACTGAATACACAGATACAACAGTGTTAACAGTAGATGTTGGAAAATAATTGTGAGTAGAAATTTATGTTTGCATTGAAATTATGTTTAATATGCTGATATTATATTAATGTGAAAATAAAATACGGGCAAGTAACATTTTGAAAAATGTTTCACCACCAGATTGGTTTTCATCATTTAGAATAGTGATTCTTTTTTTTTTTTTTTAACTTTTTTATTGTGGTCTCAATCGTTTATAACATTGTGAAATTTCAGTTGTACATTAATATTTGTCAAACATTGTGTAAATATGCCTCTGCACCCCTTGTGCCCACCCTCCCCACCCCTTTCCCCCTGGTAACCACTAAATTGTTCTCTTTGTCTGCGAGTTTGTTTATATTCCACATATGAGTGAAATCATACGGTGTTTGTCTTTCTCTGTCTTGCTTATTTCACTTAACATGCTCTCAGGGTCCATCCATGTGGTTGTGATTGGGACAATTATGTCCTTTTTTATGGCTGAGTAGTATTCCATTGTATGTATATACCACATGTTCGTTATCCAGTCATCAGTTAGTTGTTGTGCACTTGGCTTGCTTCCATGTCTTGGCTATTGTGAATAATGCTGCAGTGAACATAGGGGTGCACAAGTCTCTTTGGATTGTTGATTTCAAGTTCTTTGGATAAATACCCAGTAGTGGGATAGCTGGGTCATATGGTATTTCTATTTTTAATTTTTTGAGATATCTCCATACTGTTTTCCATAGTGGCTGCACCAGTTTGCATTCCCACCAGCAGTGAATGAGGGTCCCCTTTTCTCCACAACCTCACCAACATTTACTTTTTTTTGTCTTGGTGATT